TTATCATTCAATGGGTTGTTACTGAACTTGCCCAACTTTAGGACTTGATCTGTCTGATATACTCCACTTATGATGGGGACTCCCAATTACAAAGTCACTTGATATGCCCTGACCAAGCATTCATTCTCTATGATAGCCTGGGGCATGCAAAAGCTGCTTTATGAATGAGGAATAGTTCTCTAATGCAAATGACAAGAATCTACACTGAAATTCTCCTTTTGTGGGTTTTCTAAGACTCTAAAAGTATTCTTATTCACCACGGATAATCTTTAGCATGTGGGATTATCCAGATAAGTGACCTAGGAATCAAAGCCTCTGGAACCACAGCTTGAAACATGCTGTGGTCCCTGCTCAAAACCAATAGGTTTCCAAGTTATCCAGTAGATGGGTCAAAACCCAGTATTGCCAAGTATTCCATGTTCTCTCCAAAAACTAAGAGACCTACAAAGTACTGAGGTTGTGTTAACTCAACTTTTCATCTCTCTGACAAAATATCTGAAAGAAACAACTTACAGGAGAATTTGTTTTGGCTCATGGTTGAAAGGTTTCAGTCCATTTTGGCTTACTCCATTGTTTCTGAGCCTGTGTTGAAGCAGAACATCATAGCAAAGGATGTGGCAGAGAAAAACTGCTCACATAATGGCAGCCAGGAAGCAGAGAATGAGAGAGAAGGGACTGGGGATAATATACAGTCCTCAGTGGCATGCACCCAAGGACCCCCTACTCCTACAGTTTCCACCACCTCCCAGACATCTATTCAGCTATGAATCCATCAATACATTCATCCATTGATGAAGCTAGAGCCCTCATTATCCAATTACTTCCCCGAGTCTCCACCACTGAAATCGCTAAACTGGAGACCAGTCCTTCAACACATAAGCCTTTGAGGACATTCCAGATCCAAATCATAACAGGTCACAGTGCAAGGTACAGTAACTTGCCCTTCACATTGAAGAGAAAGTCTCAGAATATTTCAGACCACTGGCCTTTAAAATTTCACCAAAGTAACAAGTCATTGAATCTTTATGGGTTTATCTCCCACTCTGTGCTGGAGATGCATTTTATGAGGGAATCRAAGACACTTGCCACTTCTTGCTTGACCACGTCTGATACTGTGAACCGACAAGGCTCTTTTATACCATATTGTCACAAAGAGCAGGACAGTCCTTGGATAAGACTGAATGTTCATTGCTGACTGTTCTAAGTGAATACAAATTCCTCTTTTCTTGATAAGGATTGAAAAGAATGTATACATTTGCCAAATCTGTAACTACATACCACATATGAGAGACTATATCAATCTAGCAAAGGTCTCATCTGCATGACAGACCACTTGATTCAATTGACAACCACTTGATTCAATTGACAATAGTCTACCCCCATCTGTTATAATTAAAAAGGTCAACACATCTTTTAAATCATTTTCTGTAGCACTGTTAAGAGTGATTTACTACTAGTTATTTTGCCCAGGGTCAGCAAAGCAGATATGCAGTTCCATGAGTTTTGACTTCATTTCTTCTGACCTCAATGAAAGGGTGTCCTCTGGCCACTTCCTTTTTCTTCACATCCTCTCCAGCATTTTTTATTGTTTATATTCTTGATGATCACCCTTCTGACTGATTTGAGATGAAATCTCAGTGTAGTTTTGATTTGCATTTCCCTAATTACTAATGATGTTGTACATTTTTATATATTTATTGGCCATTTGTATTTATTCTTTTGAGCAGTGTTTAATTCATTTGCCCATTTGTTATTGGGCTATTTTATTTTTTGGTGTTAAGGTTTTTTTCAGTTCATTATATATTCTAGATATTAATCCTCTGTCAGAAGAGTAGCTTTCAAAAATTTCCTCCCATTCTGTAAGTTCTCGCTTCACATTCTTATTTGTTTCCTTTGCTGTGCAGAAGCTTTTTAATTTGATGCCATCTCATTTCTTAACTCTTGGCATTATTTCCTGAACTTTAGGGGTCCTACTGAGAAAGTCTTTTCCTKTGCCTATAAGCTGGAGTGTTGACCCTATGTTTTCTTCTAGGAGTTGCATATTTTCTATTCTAAATCCCAGGACTTTGWTTCATTATGAATTGTCTCTTGAGCAGGGTGAGACATGAGTTTAGTTTCGTTCTTCTATATATGGATGACCAGTTTTCCCAGCACCATTTGTTCAAAAGGCTGTCTTTTCTCCAATGTATGTTTTTGGCACCTTTACCAAGGCTCAGATGACTRTAGATGTGTAGGTCTGTCTCTTGTGTCCTCTATTCTGTACCATCGGTCTATGTGACTGTTTCTTTAAGAGTACTATGCAGGTTTTGTTACTTTGGCTTTTGTAGTGTAAGTTGAAGTCAGGTATTGTGGTGCCTCCAACATTTTGACTAAGAATTGCTTTGGCTATTCTGGGTCTTTTTTTCTTCCAAAAGAGTTTTAGGACTATTTTTCCTACTTCTGTGAATGTCATTGGCATTTTGATGGAAATTGCATTGGAACTATATATTGCTTTTGGTAGTAYGACMATTTTAACAATATTAATTCTGCTTATCTATGAACATGGAAGGTCTTTCTGTCTTCTAATGAGGTTTTCTTTAATTTCCTTCTTCAATGTTCTGTAGTTTTCATTGTAGAGGTCTTTCACCTCAGTAGTGAAACCTCCAAGGGTGTTTTTTTTTTTTAAGGCTATTGTGAATGGACTTGTTTTCCTGATTTCTTTCTTAGCAGATTCATATTCATTTATTCATTTGTTAGCATATAAGAAACACCTTCATGCATGGCCATTTTCTTTCTATCTTATATTTACACACACACAAAAAGGAAGATCACAATAATAATTTAATTTGATGTATTAATTTGGAAACGACTAACATCTGTACAAAGTAAATCTTTCTATCCAGAAATATATCATGGTTCTTCATKAGGTCTTCTTTAGTATCCACCAGCAAAATTTTATAGTGTACATTTCTTTTTTGTAATATTTCTTAATTGTTGATGGACCTTTATTTTATTTATTTGTATGTGTTACTGAGAATCGAACCCAGTGCTTCACACATGCTAGGCAAGCACGCTACCACTGAGCCACAACCCCAGCCCCCCTCCCTCAATAGTGTACATTCCTAACTAAATTTATTCATGCCCTTTTTATARGTTTTGTGTAATTGTGAGGTTATTGTTGTTATTGCTTGTATAAAAGAAAATTTTTGGTTTTTTGAAAAAATATTTTCACTATCTGATGTTAATTAAATACTGTGTTTAATAGTCCTAACAAATAATAGTATCATTCTTTCATTCATATTTTATAACTTCCAATTTAAATTTTTCTTTGATATAGAATATTTAGAAGCAYGTTGTTGTTTTTTTCTTTTTAATTTTCAAAAATTAGGAGCTTTTACTAGAGCAAAATAAAAGGAAAAGGCAGCATGTGGGGGAGGGTCAGATATCAAAGATGCAGGGAGTTTCACTGGAATAGAATAAAGAGATTGAGAGGGAGGGAAGGAGGAGGAACAAGAAAGGGGAGGAAATATGTTATGAATTTAACAAAATCACATTATATGCATATATGAATATACCATGGGAAATTTCATCTTTATGTATGATGAAAAAAAAAGTACTAATGGAAAATAAATAGAAAGTACTAATAATGAATAAATAAATAAATGAGTGAAAGGAAGATCAGTAGAGCAAAGAAAGGAGAACAGAGGAATGGGAGAGAGGAAGGAAAGTTGGGTKAATGGGGATTGAAATCAAATTCCACACATGCATGATTTTGTCAAAATGAACCTCAGTACTTTGTATAATTACAAATTAAAAATTTTTAAATTAGGAACTTTAAAAAATATTTTTAAATATTATTACATGGCTTCATTTGGGTCAAGAAATTTTTACATTTACATGACAAAAATATTCTATGAGTATATGTAAAATATTTTGAGTATAAATATATAGTCAATAGGTGTTTAAAAACAAGACATGTTCTTTGCACAAAAACAGAGCTATTAACCTAATTTGTTTCTGATTCAATCCACCAAAACCAATATACATTGAAAACTTGATTCTTAGTTAGGCTCTGTGCCATATGCCTATAATTACAGAAGCTTGGTAGACTGAGGCAGGAGGATCGAGAGTTCAAAGCCAACGTCAGCAACTTAGTGAGGCCCTAAGCATCTTAGTGAGACCCTGTCTCTAAATTAAAAAATTTTTAAAAGGGCTGGGAATATGGCTCAGTGGTAAAGCACCCCTAAGTTCAATCCCTGGTACCAAAAAAAGAAAACTTAGTTTGTTTAGATATATATTTTTTTTCAATCCAACAATTCATGTATTTATAAGTTGGTTAATGAACCTCTTCTTCCATGTAGATATAATTTTTTTAAATGTGTGTTCTATGCTTAGAAATCCACTTAACAACTAGTTAAAGAGAGCAATTTTTTTTAAAAAAATAAGCTTTAAAATAAAGATATGTTCTCATAGACATTATATGTTCTCACAAACATTGTAAGTATTACAAAGTCGAAAAACAAAACTACATTACTTTTGTAAAATTTCTATGCATATATTCAGCCAAGACTTCCTAAAATATGAAAAAATGAATCTAATAAATTTATCCAGTGTTACTTTTTATATTTCCGGTAAAATTTATATGCACATTTTATACACATGTGTGTATAATGTTGAACTTTAATTTGATCTTTAATATACATATTATAGCAGATACATGTGTCTTTATACACATGTATATGTATATTTTTCCTTAATTTAGTCCTTGGAAAACTCTTATTTTGAACCCCCTTTTATACAGTTTATAGTTAGATTTTGTTTCTTTCTTAAAGACCCTATTATTGTTTTAATAGTTAAATTTAATTTCTTTGCAATTATTGACAAAATTCATGTAGTAATAGTATAGAATGGCTTCCTGGAGTAAGTGAATTCTGGATATTCCAGCACTCCCTAGACTACCTGCTCCAATCAAATTGGGCACTTTAACAATTCTACTTTTTCTTATTGTAGTATTTTGTATTATGATTTCTCAAAAGAAGACAGAAGAGCATCCTTTTGCAGATATATTTGATGAAGATGAAACGGAAAAAGATTTTTTGTTGTCCAAACCTGTTTGCTTCATTATATTTGGGAAACCAGTAAGTTCTCTCCTCTATTATTTAGTATAATTTTTTAAAACCACAGTCTTGTAAGTTACCACACAAGAACGGAAACCAAATAGTTTGCTAATTTGTTGAGTATCTTTGAGGTTTTCATTGTATCACTTAAATTCTTATATACTATTGGTAAATTCAAAACTTTCTCTCCTTTTTCAGCTACACTAGAGCTGAAAAAGRAACCAGATTGTATTCATATTCATTTTATATTATGAGGAAATTAACTTATCAAAACATTGCACCATGATTACCTAGTAGTGTGTAATCTTAAATTATGTCAGACTTGATTTGCATATAAGAGTTTCTTAAACATTTGTTGCAAGGTTCTCTGTATATGCCATGATAAGACATGATCAAGACATTCTGGGAGATTCTCCTATTAATACCCAAAGACCCTGAGAGCAACATGCCTCAGTCTTTACCTACAATGTGTTAGAGGACCTCTGTATTATCTTTCCACAAACAGAAGAAACCAAAAGTGGCTGTTATAAAATTGTTCACCTTTCTAGGTAATTCTAGTGAGGACCTCTAGAGAAGAGCCATTTTCAGCCAGTGAGCTAGTTAGTAGTTACCATTAGAGGTCTGAGCTGGTTAGCTGGAAAACCTTTCCAGAACAGCAAGAGATTGAGAGCTGGAGCCCATCCTTGACTTAGTTTTGTGGGAACCCTGGGACGGATAGATACCAAGAAATGTTTCCAACAACTTTCATTACTTTTCTGAAAACAGAATACACTTTTAAAAGTCAACATTGACAGCAAGCAGATGCAAATTTTTCAGTGTGAAAGTGACCTTTGACCTTTAATAGGTGATATTTTCCAAAAATATCAGTTAAGAAGGGTTTCTTTTCTCTTAAAAATTACTAAGTGGAAATCTGTTAGAACATTCATTTTGCTTTAGGAAGGAAATAAAATAATGAATCTCAATATAATCATGATTATTTATAGTCATAGTCAAGTAATTTGACAAAGGAGTGCAACACGACAGTGGTGTAGCTTCCTGATTTCAAGGTTACTTTCATACTTTAAAAAAGTATTTAAATCAATTTAGGAGATGTGGCTATGCAAAAATTAGCACAGAAAAATGAAGTTATAAGTATATATAGTATGTAAAATATGCTCTCATTTTATTTTTTAATGTTTTTATTTGTTTTAATTAGTCATACATGACAGTAGAATGCATTCATGCACTTTGATATATCATACATAAAAGGGATATAATTTCACATTTTTCTGAGTGTACATGTTGTAGAATCATATTGGTTATGCAGTCACATGTATACATAAAGCAATAATGTCTGTTTCATTTTGCTATCTTTCCTATCCCCATCCCCTTCCCTACCCTCCCTTCACTTCCCTCTACCTAATCTAAGGTAACCCTATTCTTCTCTAGATGGGCCCTCTGCCCCACCCCCACCTTATTGTGAATTAGCATCCGCATATTAGAGAAAACATTCTGCCTTGGGTTTTGGGGATGGCTTATTTCACTTACCATGATTTTCTCCAACTCTATCCATTTACTGGCAAAGGCCATAATTTCATTTTTCTGTAAAACTGAGTAATATTCCATTGAATATGTACAGTCTTCACTTTTATGGGAAAAACTTGAAGTAATRGAATATTTAAAAACTCATATTTTGTTTCACTGTCAAATGATTATTCTACTGAGTTTTAAACAATATTTCTTTTTTAAGGGAGCTGGGAAGACAACATTAGCCAATCAGATAGCACAGACATGGAAATGTGTTCGTGTTGAAGGTAATTTTATCTTTTTTCCCCAATATTTTATTTTGAAAACTTTCAAATATGCATGAAATGGAAAGAACTRTGCAACAAACACCCATATACCTGTCCACCCACCATCTATATTCCACAATTAACATCTTGCCATATTTCCTTTATTGGACATCTGTCTACCTTTAACACAGTAAGCATTTTAACACAGCAAGCATTAGCTTTATAATAGAGCAATCCAGTCATGTTTTGACCGATTACTACTAGTTTTGTTTATATAATTTAGGAGTGTATGGAATGTCCTTGACTCCATTCTTACTGTCCCCAATTCTCTATAATTTAGAGTTATTTGTGATATGTGTGTTTTTAGTGTCTTCTTACAAAAGACAAGAAGAGAAGGAACTCTCAAAGCTTTTCTTGGGAGCACTTTCCAGATTACCTTCAATGATAAATTTTATTTTTATGTATAAGATTTCTTACATTTTTTACAATATATGACAATAGGTTGATACACACACACACACACACACACACACACACATCCACATCAGTGAAGCTATTTATGTCCTATTAGAAAAATAAGGAAAAGAATGAACAGGAAACTTATAAGAGTAGAACTAGGCGGTATAAGAAAAAGTTTAACCTTACTGTTATTCAAAGAGATACTAATTAAAACAGTGATCCATATTTGCCTATCAAATTGTCGGTGACTCTTTAAAATTATTGTAATTGGCAAAGGTGCTGTGGAATGGGCAGTCTAGAGGCTCTTTGTAAAATTGAGATCTGGTACAATGTTTTCAAGAACAATTTGGTAACCTATAACAGAGAGAGATCTTTGATAATTTCTCCTCTGGTTTTTTTTTTTTTTTTGATCAAAAATTTTATTTCTGGGCCTGGGGGATAGCTCAGCAGCAGAGTATTTCCTAGGATGTGTGAAGCCCCAGGTTTGATTCCTAGCGCACACACACACACACACACACACACACACACACACAAAATTCACTTCTAGGAAATCTTGAAGAAAACCAAACATCCCATAGACTCTTAATAAGACTAGTGACACAATTAAGCTCCTGAGTCTCCCCTCAGTCTCACTTTAATGTTTCTCACTTTAACGTTTCTTGATGCATACTTCCCTTTTATACAACCAGTGTGCAAAATTAATGAGTTCTGGATATAACTGAATGATTACAAAAGAATCTGGACTAATAACTTAAATGTATACTTTTATATGACACATTATAATGCACAAATCACTGTCATATATACCACCTCATTTCATCCTTGCATTATCTTCTGTACAACACAGGGCCCATGGATCTAAGATACAGGGATGTTTAAGAAGTTAACTCCCCAAGACTCTTTAACATGCAGAGGGGAGAAGTAAGTTCTCTAGAGAATACATTCTGCTGGGGATATAGCTCAGTTGGTAGAGTGCCTGCCTCACATGCACAAGGTCCTGGGTTAAATCCCCAGTACCACCAAAAAAAAAAAAAAAAAGAAGAAGAAGAAAAAGAAAGAAAGAGAATATATTCTGCTGCCTCTACTTTGGTTAGGCCTAAATAACATAATGTGCACAAATATGCTTTGTGAATTCTAAAGTGCTATACAAATATTAACCTTTGATATCAATTAGAAGACACTTCAAATGTGTTTCTTATTTTGGCAATCATAATACCAGCTTATGCTAATATTTTGAATTCATGTTTTAGCTTTACCTATTTTGGAGGAAATGATTGCTACTGAATCTGAATCAGGAGCTATGGTAAGCAAAACTAAATTTCCAAGTTACTATGATTACTATAAAAAAGTCTGCACCACAGACATATTATACAGTAGTGAACGATATCTGTCCTTGTTCTTAGCTGCGGTCAATGCTGATCAGTGGTAACAGCATTCCAGATGAACTTGTCACAAAGCTAATGTTGGAGAAGCTCAACTCCTCAGAAGTCTCTCACTTTGGTATGTTGAGGCACAAATAATTTCTGGGGTTGCTCTTTCTTTTGTCTTAGCACAGGAAACTTAGTGTCTGTAGCCAATTGAGAAACTCAGAGTTTTATTTGCTTGTTTATTTGTTTTTATTCCCCATATTCTACATTTGTAAAAATAATAGCAATAATAATAAGTTTATATGCCCAATCTTATTTAATATTGTGCAGTCTAACAAAGCATCAAAAAATGTGCTGTAGCCAGTCTGGCAATGCCTCTTGCCTCTGCTTCCCGCTTTTCTGTTCACCCTGAGTCTTCTCTCCATGTTCTCCTGTCCATGGTTGGGTTTCTCTGCATTAGTCCACATTTGCAAAGCAAGAATGGAAACTGGAATGGCACCAGCTTGCCCTCTGGCTCCAGGTATTGGAACTTCATCCAATCTGCTCTGAGTGTGGAATGGAAAAATCTCCCTCTATTTAAATGCATGCTGAGCAAGGACTTTGTGTCTGAAATTTCTCATGACAAAGACCACTGAAGRGGCTGGGGATGTGGCTCAAGCGGTAGCGCGCTCGCCTGGCATGCGTGCGGCCCGGGTTCGATCCTCAGCACCACATACAGACAAAGATGCTGTGTCCGCCAAATACTGAAAAATAAATATTAAAAAAAAAAAAACAAAGACCACTGAAGATTAGGGATTAAGTTTAGATTGATTAAAAGAGAAAACTCTAAGACATTTGCAAAATAAAAGAAGAAGAAGAAAGATGAGCTTAGGAAAAAATAATCCACTGAAATAGATTTGTTGAACGAAAGAAGGAAAGGAAAATTTATTCTATTTTAGGAGGAAAAGTCTTAAAGGACATCCAGGCAAAGCTCTAATGGCAGGACAGACTGAGAATATAAAACAGAAAGCTTTCAGTAAGTTATGAGAGGACATTATAGCTATTAAGAATACAGAGATAAAAATAAAGCTCTGTAAAGTAAAAACCATGACTGCCAAAGCAAATCAWTAATGGAAACAGCAAAAGCAGCTTTGTCAAAACAAACTACAAATCTATTGTGTGTATCTACAGACAGAAAGAGTTCTCTCCACATCAATAATATGAATGTGTAGATGATGTACAGAATCAACTGTACCTATCCATACAAAAATCTCTACCATRTATAGGTTATATATGTTAATAATTATAATTAGAAAATTTAGAAAAATAGGAATGGAGCTGGGAATGAGGTGTTCCTTTACTGTTTGAAGCTGTTTGTATTTAACTATACTAAGTAAAAATTTTTAAGTTTAAAAATAKAATCTTATGTAGAGAATTGAAATGAGCAAAAATAAGAGGGACTATTGGCTTATGAGAAATATTTAATTGTGATAATTGTGAAGTTGATTTCCCTCGYTTACTGATCTTAAGCCCTAAATAAATAGAATAAGATCCATTTTTAAAACATAGGTATTATAAATATGTTAGAGTATAAATAGTTACCATTTATTTATAAACTGTCTATGTCTATACTTCATCAGTGATAAAGAGGATGAATTGGGGAAAATAACCCAGATTRTAGGAGATTAGAAAAGTGAAATGACAAAAAGGATAATCATGGAATTCAAAATTAGATAAATAAATGACCTCCAAAAGCATAGTAACTGAAACTGTATCATACATATATGTATATAAGTGAATATTTGTTTATACTTTACTCACCTCTTGAAAATTGTAGAGTAGTTTAATGGCTACAAAAAATCTGGCTTAAATTACAAACACTGGCAATAGCATAAAGGGAAAAATAAAAAGAGAAACTTAATTGTGTCRTTCACAGTTCATAAATTTTAAAAATTCTTACTAGGGAAAAGTCAAAGCAAAAGCACACAGAAGGTTTGATATAAAGATCACACATACACAAAAGAGTCTATCACCCTGCTTTCACAAGACAACTCTTATCTAATCTTGTTGCATCTATATCTCTGTCTACTCCTCTCTCCCAACCTATTTTCATTTTGAAGCTAATCCAYATTATATCAGTTCATTCATAAATTTTTCAGTATGTGACTCTTAAAGATAAGGACTCTTAAACTTATTACCACTTAACCATCATCACCCCTAAAAAAATTAATAATATTTCTTGGACACTATCAACTAACCAGTCTGGTCAAATTCCACTAATTGCCTTTGAGATTTTTTTTAAAGAGTATTTGTGGCACAGGTAGGAGCAAGATCCAACCAGGCTTCACATATTGTAACTGATTAATTGATTGGTATGTTTCAAATCTCTTTTAATCTTTAAGGTTTTCCTTACCTCTTACCTCTTTCTATTTTTTCGTGTTTCCTTTGTTGAAAAAATTAGTTATTTGCTTTGTAGAGTTTTCCACACTATGAGTTTGTCTGATTGCATCATCTCGTATCATTTAATTGATTTCTGTGTCTTAGGAGATGGCAGAGTAAGAATGGTAGAAATTATTTCTTCAGTTTGAGCATCACACTCTCACCATTTGATTTCATAGCCATATTCTAGGTATGCACAACTGGCTCATTTAAAGGCTGCTATGAAGACAGGACCTAGAGCCCTTTCTGCCCAGTTTTCTCTTACCCTGTCACATTCCCAAAGGAATTTTTTGGGAACCTTAGCACTCTTCTAAACACAGTTTGAAAGTCTCCTCAAATTCTCATTAAGGATTCTCATTCTGGTGTTAGATCTTAACCAGTAGCCCGGTARAAGGTAGATGTAAAATTGGAAGTAAAGTGATTTTGAAACAGACATATGACCTGAGTCAGGGGACAGGCAAGGCTAGAAATAGATGAATCCAAAATTCCTAGAGAGATGTGTGCTTCCAGGGACACTATAGTAAAGCATTGCCAAATTCAATCTGATTTTTTTCTGTACCAGCGCCCTTCTATATTTGGAGCTTCCATTACTACAAAGAACCTACACAATCTATAATCTCTTTATTAATAGTCCATCATGCTGTGTTGGCTGTCAACCAAAATCAGCTTCTTGGAATAACTTCCTCACCCAAGAGAAGAAAAAAAAAAAAGTATAGTCTATGCTTGAGGATCCAGAAAATTCCCTCTCTTCTACTTGCTTCTATATTCTGGAAAAATTCATTTTYCCCAGTGAATGATGATTAGCTCTAGTCTAGACACTCCAGGTATACAACATTTTAGATGATCTTGCAAGTTATTGGTCACCAGTGTGTCCATTTATGCTGGCCTGAGGTTTAGTGAATAGCAAGGCTGGCTRGACACAAAGCTGTCTGATGTCTCTGTATCTCTCATCACTTCAATCTGAAARCAGTAGCCTGCCGCTGTCAGTTTATGGAACTAGGAAATACCTCCTGCTTTCCACTGTGCCAAGAAATGTGAACAGAGTTAAAATGTGGGCCTGGTCCATCTGATTTCACCTGAGTGGTKGACTAGACAGTATTTCAGCTTTCTCTGATGTAGGCCAGATAGTACCTACAAAGTGCCTACTATGCCTGTGCTAGTACATGCATGGAGTCCACCATCCCTCCATCTTCAGCATGGAAGGGCAAGGCTTTGGTAAATGCTCTCAAGGAAGTGTGGGCAGTGATGGGGGGAGTTCATCATCTGTGTTTCCATCTTCACCTATGTCTCTGAGATTAGAGAAATTGACAGTAGGCTCCTCGGCTCTGGTTATTTACTTGTTGTATTCCTCTGAGATCCTTCCAGAACTGGGCCTAGAGGACTAAGAAATCCCACTTTACATCTGCAGTGGTGAGTCAATCTTAAATGCTATAACCGTCTCTCCCACACCTCCTCCCACAACCCAACCATATTGCTTTCAAGAAAATACATGAAGAAAATCCAGCATCACATAGCTATGTAGCTAGAAAAAGGAAGTGTTTAATTGACTTTTAGATAACTGTGAATATTCTTAATCCTACATTAAAACTCAACAACTGGAAGGATTTTTAAAAGTTAATTATATWGTATCATTTGAAACTACATCAGCAAATTTTTCAAACTTGGTTACATTAAAATCCCTGGTTTACCTTGCACTTGTTATGAGTCTCTTTCCTATCCATGATTTTATAGCCTATGAATTAGTCATTTATAAAATTCGTGTTTACTGAATTATGCAGATCTCCAAAATGTTAACAGTTCATTACACAATATCAAAAAAAAATCACATTTGTTAATGTCACCACCAATCTTATCAGAAAAATGTAAGAATTAAAAAGCTGTTAAGCTTATGGCAGTGGAAACAAGTTTTCCAAAATTCAAATTTTCACTTAAATTTTATGCTTGGAAACAACTACTATCAGTTGTTGTCCCTGAAGTAAGAGACATACTTCATTTACTTTTTATAAGATTTTTGCCAAATATCCAAGGCTTAAATGTAATTTGTCAGTTGTTCTTCCAAGAAAAAAAAAATTCATAAAAATAGCAAAAATGTAAGTCAAAGTCCATGAATTTCCATTGAAGGAATTGAGACTTTATTGTTAAGAGAAAATGTTATGAGGAAGTGACATAATTAAAGAAATATATTTATTTATTRTAGGGGTGGTAAACAGAGTGAATGTCATTGAGATTTAGGCTTCTGGGCAGGAGTACAAGCCAATAGATGTGCTAAGCCAAAATGTATTCTGTTCTGTTCCATTCTTTAAACTTAATGGTGGATGCATAGGTATTATATTACTTCCTATAAATTATATACTAAATTATATTATGAAATATTTAATAAAGAAAATAATATGTCATGAAACCCTTACAATATACCTTTACCTTTCATCATATGAGCCTTCCTAACATGAGTTAAAGGAATTACTAGCATGTAATTTCCTTCCCTAGGCATCTCATCTGTCTGAATAAATTGACTTGAAATTTTTAAAGATGTCACTTCCTAGCCCATTAATTTCTTTTTTATTATCAGAAAACCATTTTTCATAGTTATACTTCATGTGGCAATAACCATAGCTGTTCCTTCAAAATTTTTGACAGATAACTTTATGACCTGTGTTATATTAATCAATAGCTATATGATATTTTATAAAGTAATAATAATRAATCCATACTCTCACATATTAATATTATAAATTTTTAAAATTTTATTTTTCAGGTTATATTGTCACTGAAATACCATCACTTTCAGAGGATGCCATGACGGTTTTGCAGCAAGTTGAATTAATTAAAAATTTAAAATTGAAGCCTGATATTATAATCAATATTAGGGTAAGAATATTAGTTGTTTTTTTTTCTTTAGTATAGAAAACCTTGATAGTACTTAATTCAAAGAATGTTTTCAAAATTTATAGATCAGTCACAGACTGAATTTCTCACACTCCTGTCTTTTTGTTCCTTYGGCTGCATCCATATGAACCACTTCCTCGATTCTTCACTAGGCTTAACCATGGCCACCCTTTGAGCCAGTTCAGGCATCATCTCTTCAGAACATTCCCTGACAACCACACCCTCCCTACCTCCTGCTTCTCTCTCCTTCTTCCCCACCACCATGCACCTTATGTAGCACAGGAGAGTTAAATGCTTCTCTGATAACCATTCATTTACTTTCCTATTTTATCCACTTCACTGTAAATGTTCATTTTTTTCTTAGACTCTCTTATTTAAAGGTAGAAAAAAACATGTTTTATTCTAGCATCAACTAGCACACTATGTGCTACCTAGTGTCTCTAAATAAGTTTACTATTTAAATAAGATGTAACAACAAAGGACTTGAATGGTGAATGCTAAAGAACACTGCTAAGTTGATTAAGGCTGATCCTTTCCCTGTTTTTCCTTTATTAACCATTGGAACTTGGTAGGTCACATTTAGAAGTCTCAGTTTTCTGTTCACAAAGATGACAATAGCTGCCTCATGGGGTCATGGTAGGAATTCACTGAGATGCTCTCTACTTGTTTATGYGAAAATGAAGTACAAGCTTTTGTATTCAGACTCCCTGCCTGGCTCCCCAAAGGGTTTATGACAGCTGAAAATAAATAAGATGGTTGTCAGCTCAGATGTTGGGACCCTGTGGAGTGCCAGGCTCAGCTGTAAGAGAAAGATTGTCTTGCAGTGGAGTATGGTGTAAGTACAGTCCCAGCCCCAGCTCATGACCAGAGGCCCAACTCCTGAGCAGACTTGAGAATGACATACATGTGACCATGTGCATAGTGGAGAGAGGAGATCTCAACTAAATAAAATCAAATATAAAGTCAAAACCAAGGAAAATACAGATTAAATAGGAAATTAAAAACTTGTGGAAAGAAAGCACAAAGATACACAGGACAGAAGGCCCCAAATGCTCACTAAATTTGAATAATAAATCTGGTTCCAAATTTGATAAACTGAAGTAAAAAGGGAAAAGTGACCAGTTATTAAAAATCGCCAGTGAAAAGATAAGCCATTTCTCAGAAAAAAACAAAACTTCCATTGAAAGTGAGAGAAATGGTTTACTTAGGTTCTAATGTGAGACCACTTAATGTAGTYAATGACACCTTTAACCCATTGTGTTGTAAGTGGCATACTGAATGCCTTGTGCAGTTTCCACAGAGAAACCAGATTATAATTAGAGAGTTTGAGTGATATACAACTCARCACAACACACACTTCTCTGACCATGTGTTTCTACTTGGGGATAAGTCTGGAATTTCTAGAACAAAAGTTCTAGAATTATTTATTTGCTATAAGTGATAGTTTGGATAATAGAAATTTAAAGGTTGAACTAGAATAGGCAATCTTTCAGATCCTTCCCATTCATAACTGGCACCCAGTTATCAGGGCTGCAAGGCCCTCTAGGTGACTAATGCCTGCTAAAATTCTTAGCCTGGGTTTCATGAGCCCTAAGCATTCAGGAGCCTCCTGAAATTATATGCAAAATTTTTTGTGTATGTGCATTTTCCTAAAGCAAAAGTCTATGGCTTTTATCATATTCTAAAGGGACCTGTGCTACAAAAATTGGTTAAGGTACAGCAATCTACTAGAGCAGTGGTTTTCAGAGCCAGCAGCAGCAATACCCAGAAGCTTGTTAGAAATGCAAGTTCTCAGGCCCCATCTCAGAACGAAGAACCAGAAACTGAGGGGGTGGCACCCAGTTATCAGGGCTGCAAGGCCCTCTAGGTGACTAATACCTGCTAAAGTTTGGGGACTCCTGCTCTGGGGCACATCCTTTAGCCTCCTCCTCTTATTAGTCACCTCCTCCAAGTGAAAACAGGAGACAGCTGAAGGTGACGGTCTTTGTCAAGAACCCAGAATGTGAGGACTCTGGGTTATAAATTCACAAGTTTTTAAAATGACCGAATGGGTTGAAGTCCTTTTGGTGAAAACTTAAGACTCCCAAATAAAAGCCTTGCATAAATAAGTAAACATCCCATCTCCACGTGGAGGGGGCATGAATAAATCAGAAAATGATCAAGGAAGGTTCCACAGTTCCTTACTTCCTTTGTTTCTCAAAGCGTGATCAGCATCAGAATCACTGAGGATGCTCTTTCCAGGGCCTAGCCTCACTCCAATCTTACTAAATTACAAGGGGGAGCAGATGTATCTATTTAGCAAGGTCTCCTAATGTTTGAGAATCTGCTACAGAATATCATCTAGACATTTGTTATCCTAGAAATCATCCAGACCAGGATTTACAGCCCCACATTATTTTAATAAAGCATCCACAGAGCATGGAACACAACTCTGATAGAGCACACAAAAAGAAATCTATAGCCTATGGACTATATGAATCAGAAGGCCTCCGTGTGACATTGTGATATGAGACCAGTCTCTTAACCTGTCTGTGTTTCTCTGATCTGCAAAATGTCTTTAATCATAATATTCAATTACTTATTTTAAAGGATTAGTTTGAGAATTGAGAATTGAGTCAAACTGCACATATGAAAGCACTTTAAAACAAGAAATTTACTTATAGACTTTGGTTTGTGCTTTTTTTTTTTTTTTTTTTTACTACATGAACTGTTTCTTCATTTTCAAAATTTAAAGGTTGAACAGATAGGCGATCTTTCAGATCCTTCCCATTCATTACTGGAATTTTGTAAACTACTTTGACCATAAAGTTGTAAATGATCGTAAATACTAAAATATGTAAATATTCAAATACTAAAATAAAATATATGCATATTCCATTTTCCTCCATTACCAGCCTTTTCAAACTAATCTGAACCTTTGCAGACTAAAGTGATTTTATATTCTATTTCTCTACTCTTTCTACTGTTCTTCTAATCCTCTTTCTTCAACTTAAAACTTCTGATATTTTCTCACACGTATGAATTTCAGTCAAAAATGTTGACATTGCTTGAAAGTTGTATTTTGTGGTCACAATATTGCATTTGTCAGGTTTTTAAGGAATTTTTAACTTTATGCATTGAATAATATATAGATTAGGTATTAAATGCATATTCAAAATATTTTAGGTAACATAATAATGTTTTTCCTTAGTGCCCTGACTATGATTTATGCCAAAGAATTTCTGGGCAAAGACAGCACTGTAATACAGGGTACGTATACACTAGAGATCAGTGGGATCCTGAAGTCATTGAGAGTCGGAGGAAAAAGAAGAAAGACACCCATAAAGAAGGAAAAACCGAAGAGGAAGGAGAAGAGGAAGAAGAGCAAGAGGAGGAAGAGGTAATGCCACAATAGGTCATTATTGTATGCTATATTTTAAAATTTTGCTATAAATAAATGATAGTTTGGATAATAGAAAACAGATACTGGAGAAAATTACATTTTTATTGAGTCTGGAGGACATAAGTAAAACTATCTCCTGTTTTCAAGAACTATTAGAACATAAGCTTAAGGTCAAATTTAACCTTCCTGTCAGTATAGAAGTCCCTCTATTCTGAAAGCTAATATGCTTCATTTCATGGCAACGATAATTTGTCACCTTCTATGTGTCAGTCAATCCAGCTAGAATAAGGAGTTAGGGCAATAAAAGACAAACTGTGATATGGGGAACAAAGTAGCCCAGCAGTAACTCAACTTGTGAAATGAACACAACTCTGATTCCAAACTCTGACAGAGCACACAAAAAGAAATCTATAGCCTAATTTCACATATACGTGTTTTTTAAATAATCTTAAATACTACCAAACATAATGCAATAGAGCATGGAAAAAAATCTTTTACTATGACTTAAAGAGGAAAATTTGATAGTAAGAAATCTGTTAACARATGATGGACTGGCTTTGACCCACCAGGGTGGGAATGGGTCATAGTCTGCCAATCTATACTGTAGTAAAATGTACCTGTGATTGACAATTTCTGTTATGGCCTAGACTCTGTGAAGTCAAAGTTAACTTACAGATGGATACATTTCAAATAACTTATCTAATAAATAAGATGACCCCAAAGGCCACAGTTTTATTGCCATATAGGACATTAAGCAGCCTTATGCCTAACTTTTCAGTCTTATTCAATGATTATTAATACCTACACTTTGTAATTCTGCTGTTTCCCTTGCTGTAGGTTAAATACCTCTTTGACATATGTTCTTTCATTTAAAAATTGGTAGTACAATAAAGTCCATTTTAAAAAATAAAATAATCTATAATCTCACCTGTGCAGATAAGTCATTAGATAATAACCATAACCTATTTTAGACTGTTTTAAAGGAAAACCCCATAGTAGATAGGGATAAAAGTTATGTGATTTTAGCATGAATACAGTATACTATCACAGCCAACATGGCACTTATATGGTGGGATACAGGGGTCACAATTCATTGCAGGGTCCAAATGGGTTATGACAATTGGTGATGTCACCAGGAATATAATCAGGAAGAGTGAGGACTACTTTTAGGCTAGGACGCACTGTCCACTATGGCAGCCACTCCCCCATGTGGCTGTTTTAGTTTAAATYAATTAAACTTATTTAAAACTTAATTTAGTTCTTTAGTAGAACTAGCCACATTTCAAGTGCTCAGTAGTCAAATATGGCTCTGTCTTCCTAACTGGATGGTCCAGATAAGAATAATGCATTTTGTTTTCTTACTGTTTTTGAAATCTGGTGCATATTTTATACTTACAGCCCATTCCAATTTGCACTGACCAAATTTCAAGTGCCCGATAGGTATGTGTAGTAAATAGCTATAACACTAGATCACATTAGCCTCGGTCCTTATCCTGCTTTATTTTCCTCATAGCATTTATACTTTCTGAAGTTTTRTTAATTTTTTTACTAGCTTATAGCCTGTCTACCCCACTGAACATAAACTGTATGAAAGCATGACTTTTATCTCCAGTGCCTGTAACAGTGCTTAGCAGATAGTAGGTGCTTAATATGAAGTCGTAGTAACTAAGTGAATGAACACAAGCATGCTAGAAATGCCCTCTGCTAGAGAGAGACGATGGTAGCATCTTTTGAAAAAGACAGTATTTACTGAATCACTTTGAAATGTATTACCCAAAGTTCAGTAATTCTAATTTTAGGAACTATTCTAGGGGAAATATTAGTAATATAGTAATCTATCTACAAAGCTATTCATTGCAACATTATTTATAAGATTRTAAAAATCTGAAACACTCTTGTTTTGACCTGTTATAGAGTCATGCTTAAATCATTTGAGGAAATGTTATTTTACCATTAAAATAATATTTAAAACAAATTATAATTATAAAATGGCTTCTATAGATAATGTGATTCAAATTGTGTAAAATATGTACATGTATGCATTTATAAAAACTGGAAAGAATGACTAATTATGATACTAAGTGTGATATGGAACACTTGCTATGTGCCAGGGCAAGGGCAGAGAACTTTTACAGTATTATTTACTCCCTCTGCTTTGATCTGTTCTTTCTCTAGAAATCTGTGAGGCTCTCTCCCTTCCTTGCAAATTCAACTCAGATATCACTTTTGTGACCACCTGACATAAAATAGCACCTTCTCCCATCACTCTGCTTTATTTTTCTCATAGCATTTATATTTTCTGAAGTTTTGTTTATTTTTACTAGCTTATATCCTATCTACCCCATGAACATAAACTCTATGAAGCATGACTCCAGTGCTTACCACTACTTGTCTTATATTTATTTGCCCACTGTGTTTATGTGTCTCTCTCAGCTTCAACATGAGCTCTGTGAGCCCAGTGTTAGACAGTTTTGTTCACTGTTGTATCCCAAGTTCCCAGAATAGTGCCTGGAATAAAGGAGGYACTCAAATGTTTACTGAATATTGAAGGAAGGATGAGTGAACTACAAGCTTGAGTATTCTAAGAAACTCAAGTTTCTCTATTTTGTCTTAAAAAATCTGACATTCACCTCCACTCTTCTTATTAACTGGGGAGGAAAAAGTAATTAGTAAGTATCCAAGTCAGTCTAATGCTTTGTTTCATCTAATGAAGACCCCTAAGAGTGTTCAGTCTCTCTTTTTCCCCTCATCATTCTAAATGCTTTATTGAAACACATAATACATAACAATGAGATTATGAAAATACAAAGTCAACCTAGTCCTCGTAGTTCCTTTGGCTGGTTGAGACAGCTCAGTGATTTCAGTCTCTCTTAAATAAAACCCTGTGTCTCTAATCTTCCCCTTCCCCCTGCTTCTCATTCTAGGTAGGCAAAGGAGGAGGGATGTGGCTTAAGAGTTTATTAATCACTGACTTAAAGATAGTTTGTGCTTCTTTTTTTCTTTTCCATTTAGGCGTTTATTGCTGAAATGCAGATGGCAGCTGAAATTCTTCATCATCTAGTTCAGAGGCCGGAGGATTATTTGGAAAATGTCGAAAACATTATTCAACTTTATAAGGAAACAATCCTTAATTGTTTAGAAGTAAGAACAAGATAAAAATAGGATTATTTGGTATTTGTCCCTGTTAAATAGCTTTCTCCCATCTTCATCTTCATGTRCTATCATTTGATTCTCCTCGTGAACTTGGTATAAAGCTATTAGATAAAGGCTTCCTTCCCGTAGGCTGTTTTCCACRACCATTTTATTTTACCCTTACAAACAACTCTGTTGTTGAAAAATGACTAATGAACTGCATTATTCAAAAGTCACTAGGAAAAATTATGAATGGGGGCTAGAAAATTCATATTAAGAGACTATGTTGTAAGAACATTTTCAATAAATAATTTATGGGTTCATCAAAACAAATAGTCACTTAACATGCATTTTTTATTCTAAAAGGAAGTGTTAATTAGGTTAAATTGCAATCTAAAAAATTGTTATCCCCAGATTGGTTTCCATGGTTATCTCATGCACAGTTGATTATATGTAAACATGATTAAGACTATTACATAGASTAGTAGAAAAGTTTTAATTAAAATAATTAGTATTCCAAAGTATGACTACTGAGATTACAATTATGTGAAAAATGTATTTTATATTTTCAAAATTAAAGGAAGACTGCCAAATATAATCATTTGTGTTGGACATTTAGTCAACAAATGTTTAATGATCTGGGCATGGTGGTGCACGCCTATAATCCCAGCACCTCAAGAAGCTGAGGCAGGAGAATCCTGAGTTCAAAGMCAGCCTCGGCAAAAAGTGAGACACTAAGCAACTCAGTGAGACCCTGTCTCTAAATAAAATACAAAATAGGGCTGGGGGTGTGGCTCAGTGGTCAAGTGCCCCTAAGTTCAATCCCCAGTATCAAAAAAAAAAAATTTATTGAACTTGGGTATTTGGGAAGATATTATGATAAACAACAAAACTATGAAAACAAATAAAAAACAATCCTAAAAATGTCTCTTCCCAATTGATAGAGACCTAAAATAATTTGTTTCATGTGGTTTATAATGTTTATATATTTTTAATATATATTAATATATATTAAATATATATTTTAATATATATCAAATATATATTTAATATATGATATATATATATAATTAGTTGTGGTTGGACACAATACCTGTATTTTATTTATTTATTTATTTTATGTGGTGCTGAGGATCAAACCCAGCACCTTGCACATGCTAGGCAAGCACTCTACCACGGAGCCATAACCCCAGCCCTAATGTTTATATTTTTTAAGGACAAATGAGTGGATTATTTTATTTCTCATCATYTCTCTCCCAAAATTAGAAACAAATTATTTTCTTAGATATGGCTTTGATTCCTTCTTCTCTCTTCTTCTATTATCTGCCTTTAAAATGAAGCATAAACATTTCTTAAGAGTACATTACATGACTCTACATAATATAATTTCTTCCTTCAGTGAAAGTATCCAAAGTACTCCTTAAGTCACCAGCACTGAGTATGGAATAAAGCATACTGAGAATTAGATTCAAAATACTGGAAAACGATATTCATAGTGGAAAAATGCAAAGGCAGTCTCTTCAAGAAGAGTTGCTAGGTCATTTATCCTTGTATCACCTATCCACAGTGCAATGCCCCCAGTGTGGAAGTGATAAATGACTGACAGATGTTCAGTTGAACCAATGACAAGATTACAAAGAAGCCCAGTAGAGGAAGGAGACCAGTGAAAGGGAGGTGGAGAGAGTAAAGGCAGGTGCTAGGAAATTAAGTTGACCAAATTATGTTGTGTGCATGTGTAAATATGTAACAATGAATTCCACTAATATGTGTAATTGTAATGCACCAATAAAAAGTATCACAAATCATTGCCAATACCAATAAAAAGAAAGAAAAGAAAAAGGAAACCAGAAAGTCAYTTCAATTCATTAAATGTAAAACTTCTGGAAAATCAATTAATCAAACTTCATTCAAAGTTAAAAGAAACAAACTGAAAAATCTCCCCACTATTGTGGGCTGATCACCAGAAAACACTCTCAGTCCGAATTTTGTCGGAATTAGAGAGTCTTTTATTTAGTCAGCTGGGACTGCTCCCTGCAGGACCCAAACTGTCTCTGCCAGGAACAGCACTGGGTCCCAGTTCTATGGGGTTTATAAGAGGAAAAACCACATCCTCAAAAACATAGGTGCAAGCAAGCAGGAGACACAGGCTGAGAAATCCGTTAGCAGAGCAAAAACAGACAACCATGTTCTGGGTTCGAGCACATTTGTGGGCATATGAAGTATAGGAAAAAAAWTTTTTTAACATCTTAGAAACAGCTTATATAACAGTTTCACATGGGAGTCATAAAAATTGAGTTACAATGGCTACATTATATTTATCTGTAACTATATTAACCTATGGGCTTATATTTATCACCTTACACTCTTCTATCTTATTTCTAACAACTTRAATCTTAGGTCTTACAGTTACATTATTACTTCTTCTAATTTATAACTAGAGCAGCTTAACATTATTTATTCTATAACACTTATCACATAATCCTTTTATCCTATCTATTAATATTTCATAACCTACAATCTATAATTTATAATCTATAATCTATATTGATTAAACTCAGACCATAACACTATGATAAAATGTTTAAAGCTATGATTTGATATATATAAAGACCATAAAAATGATTTTCTGAAACCCTGTAAGTTCATTCTGAAATAAATGGACAATAGATATGAGCAATTAACAAATGAAAGACAAAAGGGTAATAAGACACTAGAAAAAATGGTCAGTGTCACCTATAATTAAGAAATGCTTCAGCACCACATACAAACAAAGATGTTGTGTCCGCCGATAACTAAAAAATAAAAAATATATATAAAAAAGAAATGCTCATCTAAATAATGAAATGTTATTTCCATAATCAAATTTTATTTTTTTATTATTTTTAAAAATATTTTTTTAATTGTAGTGGACACAATACCTTTATTTTACTGATGTGGTACTGAGAATTGAATCCAGGGCTTCACACATGAGAGATGAGCCCTCCACTGCTGAGCCACAGCCCCAGCCCCTCCATAATCAAATTTTAAAAGATAAACAAGTGATAAGAATTTCTCCTGCTAGCAAGTATATGATAAAGCACTCTTATGCTTTGTTAAAAGGAATGAAAATTAGTATGGCCCTTTTTGTTATTGTTGTTTTGTTTTYTAAAAAAGAACACAACTTTTAAAACTTTAAAAATACTTAAAAATGCTTGGAAACAACTTGCTCAATATTATAAATTGCACAACTGTCAAGAAACAGAGGAACATATTAAATAAATTATACTATAATCACAATATCTAATTTTATAAAACCATCAAAATTATATTGGTAGTGATCTTGTAAAAGTATAGAGAAAAGTTCATTTTGATGTTATGTGAAGAAGTAAGCTTCAAAGTTATATATATATATATTCTGGTCACAAACATGCAAAAGGATTTTCTCATGGAATAAATAAAAGATGACAGGAAAACAGTGGTAGTTACCTTGGGTAGCTGGATTAGAGACATTTTAGCCTTCTAATTTTTTTGTCTTTTAAATTTTCTATAAGAAAAGTGTGCCTTACAGTAACAAAAGTATGTTGTATTTTTAAATGATGCTAATATCTGTATGAAGAAAGTCCTTAATTTAAATTTTAATCACTCTTTTATTGTATCAAAACTAGATAGCAAAGCTACAAATATATGCAGATAGACACCCAGAACCATTTTATATTGGGAAAGACTTCAAGGTGTCCAAATAGAGGAAAAGTTAAAAAAAAAATAGAAAGTCTATAAAATTCATGGTAAGGGGCTCTGCTAAGGTGTAATTCAATGACAAAGCACTTGGCTAACATGCACAAGGCCCTGGATTTGATCCCCAGAACCATGAAAGAAGGCTAATTTGGGCTTTTGCAAAAGATGTCTTCAGCACAGAAAATAATGTGCATYATAGCATGTTAAGGTAAACAAAGTGAGCTTTTCAGATTTCTTCCTAGTTATTAAGATTCTGATCTTGAATTCAATTTTCTTACAATCCTGATGTTTTCTTTTCTGTTGTCTACAGGAAGTAATGGCTGAACATAATCCCCAGTTTCTCATTGAGCTAGATGGAAATAAGCCACCAGAGGAGCTCTTTATGGTGAGTGCAATGTTCAATAAGAATATCTTACAGTTGGAAAATTTAAAAACCTTTTACAGTATTGTACTTACCTTAATACAGGTGAATAGATTTATATCTTAACACCATTAATTTTTTAAAATTTTGTTTTGGTACTTTAAAATTTAATGTTATTTTTATTTATCTGTTCATTTTAAAATCAAAACTACATTTAATACTACACTCGATCTTAACCAGAAGGCCAGATGACATCAAAACCACATTTTGAACTTAAAAGTTCTGTTTGGGTGGGAAAAAAAATAAAAGGTCTGTTTGGCCTGATGCTATTGGCTCATACCTGTAATTCCAATGCTCAGGAGGCTGAGACAGGAGGATCACAAGTTCAAGGCCCTATGCAATTTATTTTTTTTAAGAGTTTTGTTTGTTTGGTTTTTAGTTGTAGATGGACATTATACCTTTATTTTTATGTGGTGCTGAGCATGGAACCCAAGGCCTCACACATGCTAGGCAAGCGCTGTACCACTGAGCTACAACTGCAACCCAGCTCTATGCAATTTAGGWAGACTATGTCTCAAAATAAAAAATAGAAAGGGCTGGGACTGTGGCTCAGTGGTAAAGTGCTCCTGGGTTCAATTCCTGGTATCAAATAAATAGTTAATTTTGGGTAGAGTATACTTCTCCTTGTAACTTGCTTTCACAAATAGGATGTGTGCAGAAGTAGCAGGGTACCAATTCCAGACTGGGGTTTTAAATAATTTTTGCAGTGAGGGCATGGTACTAGGAATTTACCACTGAGTTAAATCCCCAGTCCTTTTGATTTTATTTTTTATTTTGAGATAGGGTCTTGCTAAGTTGCTTAGGGCCTCACTGAGTTGCTGAGGCTGGTCTCAAACTTGTATCCTCCTGTCTCAGCCTCCTGAGTCCCTAGAATTACAGTTGTGCACCACCACACCCRGCAAGACTGGGATTTTAATAAGCTTGGAAATTTTCAACCAAGCCTCTTAGACCTTCTGTCCTCTAGTGTGTCCAAGTAGAAAACAAAATTCTGGGTATATTTTGAGGAAGAAAACAAGGGAAGGATGAATTGTGAATAACATAATCTTCCACAGACTGCCACACACCAACATTATTTTTTTCTATCTCACCATCTCTCACCTCAGATTCTAGTTACTAGCCCATTGTTTTTCCAGTTTCTTCCACATAGTTAGTGTCTACATTAGTTTTTTAGGGTTACCATGATCTATCCTATGTCTTACCAACTGGATAGCTTCAAATGACAGAAACTTATTCTCTCACAGTTCCAGAGGCTGGAAGTCCAAACTCAAGATATTGTCTTGTTCCCTCCAAATCCTCTAGGGGAGGATCCATCATTGCCTCTCCCAGCTATGGTAGTCCCAGGTATTTCATGACTTATGGCAGCATTGCTCCTGTGTCTCCCTCCACCTTCACATGGCTTTCTTCCCTTTGTCTGAAGAGTTTCTATAGACCCAGACCTCTAGGGCCATGAATATTCAGGGACCATAGGGCAGAGTATCATGGGTTTAAATATGTCCCTCAAAAATATTTGTTAAAACCCTAACCTTAATACCTGTGAATATGACCTTATTTGGAAACAAGGTCTTTACATATTTAATCAGGTTGAGATCATGCATAATTAGGGTGGGCTCTATTTCAATATAGATTAGGACAAGAAATTCAGACACACAGAGAGAAGATGGCTATGTGACAACAGAGGCAAAGTTTGGAGTGATGCATAAACAAGTCAAGAAACACCAAAGATTGCCAGCAAACCACCAGAAGCCAGGAAAAAGTGATCAAGGAGTCTACCTGGAGGTTCAGAGGAAGCATGGCCTCCAATAATGAACCCATAACTTTTTCAGAATGTTTGAGATATTCAGATGTCAATGTATTCAAATGTCTGTTCTTATAATCCAGACAGTTATAGAACGACTTAAATATCTGAACCTAAAAAGAGCAGCTGTTGTGACCAAACTTCAGAGTTCAGAAGAAGAAATGAATGATATAACGGAAACTGTAAGTTACACTTAACTGTTTGAAAATCTTTGTGTTCAATATGTGTTGTAACCTTAGTTTGTATCTTTACAAGGTCTAAAAGAAATTTCAGGATACCTTTTTTAAAATGGGAGTTGGGAAGAAAAAATGGTTTGGGGAAGAAGCTATAATATTAACACAATATTCTATTAGATAACTAACTATAACACAACAAGATTTTTGAAACAAAAACGGGCCAGGCGTGATGGTGCATGCCTGTAATCCCAGTGGCTCAGGAGACTGAGGCAGGTGGATCACAAGTTCAAATCCAGCCTCAGCAATTTAACAAGGCCCWAAGCAACTTAGTAAGACTGTGTCTCAAAATAAAACAAAAGGGTCCCATCATAAATAGATAGTTCTTGTGTGTTTTCAAGGACTTTGGATGAATATTCTTCAGCTAAAGGCAGGTAGTTTTTAGAGAATCAGTACAGCATAATGGTAATGTTTAAAGCAGCAATTTTTCAGCTCTGACTGCATGGTGGATTCATCCAGGAAGCTTTTAAAATAAATCAGTGCACAAAGCAGTTAAAATAGAATTTCTGGGATAGGAACCTGGCATTAAATCAAACAAAACAAAACAGGATATGACATCAATGCATATACAACAAAAGAAAAAATAGATAAATTTGACTTCATTAAAATTAAAAGCTAGAGGCTGGGGTTGTGGATCAGTGGTAGAATGCTTGCCTAGCACAAGCGAGGCTTGGGGTTCAATCCCCAGCACCACATAAAATTAATTAATTAATTAATTACATAAGGGTATTGTGTCCATTTATAACTAAAACACATTTTTAAAAAATTAAAAGCTATAACTCGGTTGAGTGCTTACTTCACATGCACAAGGCCCTGGGTTCAATCCTCAGTACCACCAAAAATAAATAAATAAATAAAAATAAAAGCTTTTGTGCATCAAAGGACACTATCAATAGAGTGAAAAGATAACCCATAAAATGGAGAGAATGTTTGCAAATCATACATCTGATGAGGGACTAATGTTCAGGATATGCAAATAACTTCAATTCTACAGCAATAGAAGAATCCAATTCATAAACGGACAAGGAACTTGAACAGACATTTCTCCAAAGAAGACTGATAAGTGGCCAACAATCACATAAAAAGTTGTTCAACATCACTAAAATCATGGGGAAATGCAAATCAAGACTATAATAATTTTGAAAAGACTATAATGAGATACCACCTCATACCCATTACGATGACTCTCATCCAAAAAATAGGAAGAAAGTATTGACATATTGGAACCCTCTTGCATTGCTGGTGGGGTCATAAATGGGACAGCTTTTAAATGTTTAAAATGGTTTAATGTTTCCTCAAAAAGTTAAATAAAGAATTACCATATGATCCAGCAGGTCCACTTTTAGATACTATCCCCAAGAAAATTGAAAGTAGGAACTCCATTAGATACTTGAACTTTAATGTCTATAACAGCTATATTCCCAATAACCAGAAGGTAGAAACACATCCCAATGTCCATAAGTGGATGAATGGATAAGATACACACACACACACACACACACACACACACACACACACACACACACCTGATAGAATATTATTCAACCTTAAAGAGGAATGAAATTCTGATACATGATAAAATACAAATGAACCTTGAAAATACTGTGCTAAGTGAAACAAGCCAGAGACATAGAGCAAATATTATGATTTACACCTATTCTAGGTACCTAGAATAGGCCAATTCATAGAGTCAAAAAGTAGAAGTGAGAGTGCCAGGACCTGAGAGAGAGGAGAATAGTGAGGTATGCTTCATAGGTGGAGTTTCTTTGGGGGAGGATGAAGACCTGTTCTGGAAATAGTGTTGGTGGTTGTACACATTGTGAATGTAGTTAATCCCCCTGAATTGAACACTTAAAGATAGCTAGCTAAATGATGAATTTTATGTTATGTATATTTTACAAAAAAAAAAAAAAAGGACTTTCTAGAAGAGTCTACTGTAGATCCTGCGGGGRCGGGGGACTCACTGGTTTAAAGGAATAAGAGAGGAGTAAAGACCTTTATGAGAACTCTAGCTATGGGGAGTTTGGGAGCTATAACTGCTGATGAATTTGTAGAGAGGGGGAGTGGTCCTGGGGACATGGTAAAGGAAGCTCAGTGTCAGGCTGGCACCATGCACATGGAGGATACCAGCATTGGTTTCTAATCAGAACAACCTGGATTTGAAGTCCAGCTCCGCAGCCTACCAGACCTGTGGGATTTTGTAATTTTTTTTTCTTTATTCAATGATTAAAATAAAGGGGACAGTAACTATCATGGCATTGTGTTATTGTAAGGATTACATGAGATCATATTGTAAAGCGCCTAGGACCAATAGTGACATTCAAAATATCTAACAACTGAATTGTGAGGCAGAACTGTCTTCATGGACCTCTCACTGGATCTTGTGCTTAGAAGGGCTCCACTCTTAGTTTAATGCTCTGCTGTTGCAGTCTAGAAATTCTCAACTAAATTGAGAACAAGGGCCTGTATTTTTTATTTTATCCTATGTCTTACAAATGAGCCTCTTCAGTGCCAGGTCATTCACCCAGTGGTGATAGAGCCTTCAGTAGAGCTGAGAACCCTGCTGTGCCCACCATAACTATTTATGTGCCAGATCATAGGAAGGGCCAGAGTTTCTTCTGGAGAGGTTTAGGCAGCAGTGTCTCCTAAGGGCAGTGGCCATCATTGTTAAATTTCTCATGCCCTCCTCCACCCTGACCTCAGCCGTCTCACATAAGCCTGGGATTCAGTCTCTCCAGTTTTCTGACTGAAAGAGAGATGGTGGGAATGTGGGGGGAAGGGTAAGTGAATGAACTGAGGGGAGTGGGAGGTGGCTCTGGCTACTAGCACCCCCTTTCAAAGACTTCCAACCAGTCATCCTGTTTTATGCTCCCATTTAGCCCCCTTCAGAGGTACTTGGTATCACCCAGGCCCGTGTCTTTCTAGGATTTTGGAGTCACCTGGCTTCTTATCCCCATCCATCCCACATCCATCCTTGCCACTGCAGATATTTTAGCTTTTGCCTTTCTCTGATCCAAACCAGTTACTACCAATCAATCTGCTTTCTAGTTTCCAAAACTGTATAGCCTCTGCTGGTCAGTTTCCAGCTCTGGCCATCATTTTGGTCTTTTCTTCCATTTTCCGTGTCTTTGTGTACATATTCCTTTTTTTATGCCTCTGCTGTCATTTTAGGGAGTTTCAGGGAAGCAGTAAATATAAATGCTAGAATCCATTCTGCCTAGTTTAACCAGAAGGTAGTCCTTATCACTTTTAAGTCTTTAATACCAAACTCATTCAAAAACTCCTCTTCTCCCCACTCAGCACCTATTAGAAGTGTGGCTTGAGGAACAGGAATTTGAGAAGGGAATAGGGTCTGCTATTAAAACACTTTTCCCATGTTTGGACAGGAAGGAGGGATGATAAGGAAAGAGTGACCACCTCTTGACTCCTCTGGGCAGTTTCCATCCTAGTTCATTGTCTATGGGCTCCTTGGAGAAGGCTGTTGGCACCACTTGCCCCATCAATGAGGTTCTTAGTCTTAACACTTCCAGCCCTCAGTGAGGACTCTCATGCAACATCCTGGCAGTGTGCATGCCTCTTTGCTTTCAGATTTTACAATGGTCCAGGCAAGACCACAGTTCCCAATCTCGTCTGTGCTCTGTGGTCAGTTCTACAGCCAGCAGGCATATGTGCTATCCACATCTGAGTGTCAAAGGCAGTCTGGGACCTTCCCCCCTCACAGGTGCCTGGTGTGCCATCTTGTCCTAGTTCTGTCATTCCCTGCTAAGATAGCACAAAGAGAGGTGAATCTTTTGACAGTCTTTGAGGTCTGGAAGTTACCAACAGAAATGATTGCTTGTGGCTTTTGTCCCAGCGGCTTAAGCACTCAGACCTTTTGCCCACCCAGGGACACCACTTGCCGGGTTGCTCGTGACTAAAACACTCAGGGGTCACTCCAGGGGAACTGGGCTAATTTGGCTGCGTGAAATAACCAAACAAGAGACAGAAATACCTTTTTCTTTGGGGATGCTGTGANCATATGCTCCCTTGTTTCTTAGGCTTTTAGGCTTGGAGTAAGCTCTACTCTTGACTTCCCTGGTTCTCATCTAACAAGACAACATATTATATAGCTTCTCAGCCTTCAGAAATGTATAAACCAATTCCCATAATAAACATCACCACCATGTGTGTTTGTGTGTAAAATCTCCTATTTGTGTTTCTATGGAGAGCCTGGATTAACATCTGTCAAAAATTGATTGACTATAAATACATGGATTTATTTTTGGGCCTCACTATTCTGATGTTTTGAGGATTACAGTAGATTTTTAAAGGCAGGTAATGTAATAACTCCAGAATTTTTCTTATTTTCAAGGTGGCTTTGGATATTCTGCATCTTTTGTGGTTCTATATGAGTTTTAGGATTTTTTTTTTTTTTTTTAGAGAGAGAGAGAGAGAGAGAGAGAATTTTTTTTAATATTTATTTTTTAGTTCTTGGCGGACACAACATATTTGTTTGTATGTGCCAAGCAACTAAAACACTCAGGGTCACTCCAGGGGAACTAGGCTGCGTGAAATAACCAAACAAGAGACAGAAATACCTTTTTCTTTGGGGATGCTGTGATGGCTCCTGTGACCTTAAGGGGGGAGAGAGAGAGAGAGAGAGAGAGAGAGAGCGAGCGAGCGAGCCCACACATGCTATTCAAATGAGGTAAGGGGTGAGGTTTCAAGGGGCTGAGTCTAGCTTCATGATGCCCACTGTCAGCAGGTTGACTGACATCTGGGTAGGCCACATCCAAGGGCACAGTAAAAGAAGGGGATACACACAAGGCACTTCCATGGAAAATTCTATCCTAAACAGGGCAAGGGGTATCCTAAACAGGGCAAGGGGTAATATTACAAAGGAACAGGTGAGCACAGCTCCATCCATGCACGAAACGAAACACAGTTACTCGAACCCTAGAAAAGCAGGGCAGTCTAGCAGCATGGCTGCCACCTGACGCCTCGTCACTTAGCAGGGGTGTTAACTCAGTCGTGTGAGGTTGGTCTCCCACAATTGCTGAGGGAGATTTAAAGTTTCAGAATGAAAGTTTTACCCCTTATAAGTTAAGTAAATGCAAAAACAATCTGTATATAACATCTTACTATTTAAAAGCTTAGATAAATTGACTAAAAATCTGGACATTTTAAAACTTTTTCCCATAAGAATTTTTGAAGGGCTGAGGATGTAGCTGGCTGGTAGAGCACTTCTCTAGCAAACACAAGCACTAGTTCCAATCCCCAGTACCACCAATAAAAGAAAAACATTTTTAGAATCTGAGTTTTGTGGAGATATAATAGAGAATGTCCTTTCTATCCCATGCTCACTCTACCACATAATAAAAAATGTTCAGTAAAATTGAAATAAGGATTTTTTTAAATGAAATGAAAATTAGTCTCATTAAACTTGGGGACAAATACAAAATGTTGTGATTAAGAAAAAGCCCTGGGGCTGGGGCTGTGGTTGTAGCTCAGTGGTGGAGTGCTCGCCTAGCGCGTGTGAGGCCCTGGGTTCGATMCTCAGCACCACATAAAAATAAATAAATAAAATAAAGGTATTATGTCCAACTAAAAAATAAATATTAAAAAAAGAAAAAGGTCCAAACTTGGATTCAACATTATTTCTTAAATAGTAAAGCATCATCAAATAAGAATAGAAATATTTGATACCGCTCCCTTTAGCACAATTTATGCCCACATTTTTCAATGTAGTATTTGTGATTTGCAGGACGAGCTATTTCGTACTCTCTCAGCTTATAAACTTATTGCACCAAGATACAGATGGCGCAGAAGCAAATGGGGACGCACATGTCCTGTGGCTTTAAAAGAAGGTAACATTTATTCAGGATTACCAGATTTTTCTGTAAGGTAAGTAAGACTTTCAGAACTTAATTTTAAAACTTCTCCACATATGTTTTCAGTTGTTTATTGTTACAATGTATTTTAAGTTTTCTAGGTAAAATATACTGTCTTTCATCAGAAGAAACATTAAAAACTTTTTTATTGAATCCACGTCCCTTTCTTCTTCCACCTATGCCAATACCGCCATGTAAAATATTCATCTTTGGACCTCAATATTCAGGGAAAACGACACTTAGCCATTTGATTGCAAACTATTACAAAGGAAAGGTAACTACCTACTTATCTGCTCATCTATCTATCCTTGCCTATAATTTGTAGGATTTCATTTCTATTGTTTTCTGCATTTCATACTGGCAGCTGGGAAATTACTCCACTGAGCTCCCAGTGGGAAAGACATCCTCTTTCCTCCTTCCGGTTATTGGCACTTCTCCTGCTTCCTAGAAGCCCTCAGATTTGAATGTCCTGTCACCCAGATGATGCCACCTATCACCTTCCTCCACTCTGTTTCCTGGGTTGTACCCCRCCCTCCTGCCTCACTCTCAGTCTCCCCTCGGTCCCACTCCTGCCCTGATCCTCAGTGATCTCAACATCTGCAAAGACGATCCTCCCAGCTCCCTGGTCTGTCAGTTCCTTGCCCTCTTTTCCCCCAGTGATCTTATTTACTCAGTAAATGAAGAGAAATTATTTTATCTCAGACTGGAGTGACAGCAGTAAAGGTAGTAAGAAGCAGGCAGATCTGGGATATAACTTGAAAGTAGAGCCAGATATTTTGAAGAGAGATTGGAATGTAGAGAAATTATAAGAAGGTCAGTATCTATGAAAGGAGGAAGAGCATCCCGTGGTGGCTGAAGATGTAGTCAGAGCAGTGCAGGTCATGGGAAGGTTTTGGAGTGATTCAAAATGCTGTTAGATTCTTTTCAGCACAGGAGTGACATTTTCAATTTGCCTTTAACTTCTTTATTATGAAATATGACAAATATACAGAAAAGTGAAACTCCATGAGTCATTTTTAAATAAACCTTCTGTATAACCACCATCCCCAGGTCGAATATGAAATGTTTCCAACACTCCAGAAGACTTTTCCATGCCTCTTCCCATTATAAGTCCCTACGACAACCCGCCTCCACAAAGGAGGTAACTGCTGCCTGTTTTATGGTATTTGTTTCCACACTTTCATGGTTTTAGCATATCAGACATCATGGATTAGTTTTGCATGTTTTTGAAAATTATTTTTTACTTGTCAATGGTCGTTTATTTTATTTACTTATATGTGGTGCTGAGAATCAAACCCAGTGCCTCACATATGCTAGGCAAGCACTCTACTGCCGAGCCCCTGGATTTGCATATTTTTTGAGCTTTGTGGGCTTAAAAAATTTATATTCTTTGTGCCTGGCTTCTTTCACTTAATATTATGATTGCAATATTTATTCATGTTCTATACATAGCTGTAGCTCAATCATTTTATGATAAAATTCATTCAACAGATAAATTATAATTTATCCATATTTGGGTGTCAATAAAACTTGATGTATTATGAATAATACTGCTATAGATAGTTTTGTATTTGTCTCTTGGAGTACACACGTATGTATTTATGTTTTGGAGATATATCTAGGAGGACAATTTCTGGGACACAGGAGTGTGCATACRTTTAACTTGAGTAGGCAATTCCAGAATAGTTCTACTAATTTACAATCCTATCAGCATGGTATGAATGTTCTGTTTTTCCAGAATCCTGCCAGTTCTTCTTGTGGTCAGTCTTTCTGATTTTTATCCATTCAAGTGGGCATTTAATAATATCTCACTGTAGTTTTAATTTACATTGCCCTAATTACTGATGAGGTTGAACATTTTTCAAATGCTTACAGGCCATTCAGATATTCTCTTTCTGAAGTGTTTGTTCAAGTGTCCTGTCCACTTTTATTGTATATTTTTACATGTTGTCAATAGGAGTTACATTGTCTGCAGACCACTTTTTTTTGTTGTTGATTTTAAGCAATACAGATATTTTCTGTCACCTCGTGGTTTGCTGTTTTGCTTTTTTTTTTTTTTTTTTGGTGGCATTTGTCAGTGAACACAAGTTCTTGATTTTAGTGGAGAATAATTTGTCAAGCTTGTCCTTTTTTATCCATACTTTTATGACTCACCTTTAAGAAAGAAATTTTTACTTGCCAAGCATCGTGAAGATATTATATTAACTTCTAAAAATTTTGGACTTTCACATTTAGATGTAAACTATACCTAGGATTGACTTTCTTGTGAGTAAATTTCATGGAGTAAATTTTACTTTTTCCCATACAGATATCCAGTTATCCCAGGATCATTTATGGAAAAAACCTGTCCTTTATCCACTGTTTACAGTGCTCCCTTTGTTTTAAAGCATGTTTTAATACATGTGCATTAAATACATGTGTGGGGGCTCTGTGGTCTATTCCATTATTCTCTCCTGCTGTTGTTCTCCCACTGCTATGTTGACAGATTATCTTAGCTCTTCAGTAAGTCCTGATGTCAGATAGAGCAAGGTCTTTCATCCTGTTGCTCTCTTTCAGAGGTACATTAACTATTCATGGTCCTTTGTAATTTTATATAGAAAATATTTTGGAATTTTAATTGGGATTACATCAGATATATAGATCAGTTGGGAGAATGGGAATCTTCACTGAATTGACTTCTCTAGTYCATAAATATATACTCCACCATTTATTTAAATCTTTTTAAATTTTTATGAGTAAAAATTTAAGAGTTTTCTATGAAAAAGTTTACAAAGACCTCTAGATATTTGATGGGATTGGATACTATTATAGATAATATCATTTTTAACTTATTAAAAGTTTTGCATTATCATCACTGCTTTTCTTTAAGGAGTCACCCAAGACACAATGCCTAGCACCACTTCTAATATTAATTGGTCTTTTTTACTTTTCTTAGTGCATAGGTCTTTTAATTCAAACATACTCTCAAAATGTATCCTCAGATAATATATTCCTGTAAAATCATACAGATCCCCAATATAGCATTTTTTTCACACTCCATTTATATTTACATCTTCAAAACAAAACTCCATAATTTTATTAAAATATGCAGGAAGAATACTGTGATACATTTCAACTACAATACCAAAATCATGTGTAGTGGTTTAGAAAATTTCATCACGAATCTCAAATGTTGGCCCTAAGAAAGTTCACATTACTGCAGGCATAGCAACTGTATGTTATCAGTCATATTGTTTGGTGATCACACAGTGRTATGTTAATCATTTACATTAAAACAGGATAATCTATTGCTTGTATCTAGACATTTTATTGCATTTGAGTTACRTGATAGAATTTGGGTAAATATAAGATGCATTATGACCTTACCATTTAAAATCATGAGAGGGCTGGGGTTGTGGCTCAGCGGTAGAGCGCTCGCCTAGCATGCGTGAGACCTGGGTTCGATCCTCAGCACCACATAAAAATAAATAAATAAAATAAAGGTATTGTGTCTAACCAAAAAAAAAATATTAAAAAATAAATAAATATGAAATTATTAAAAAAATAAGAATAAAATCATGAGAATTTATTATGTCTGACCCTCAGAAACTATGAAATAATAAATGTTTGTTGTTTAAGCTAGCAATGTGAGGGATAATATTTTTTCAGCAATCAACTAATATACTCCAAAACAGTTTTAAAGATGAAAAGAGTGATTATATTTCATCAAAACATAAAACATGTTTCTGATAGAAGGCTTCAGTTTTGAAAAACTGATATATAATAGCCTGGGAAAAGATCTTTGAAACAACTATAACTTCTACCACTAACAAGAGTACTTCTACTACTGTGTATGTAATGTACCTATAATCAAAAAGAAAAAGAAAAGCAACAGACAGCTAGGGAACATCATGGAAGATAAATTGATAATTGGGGAAAAACTTACGAAGAGATACCTAACCTCATCAAAAGATAAGAAAACATTAAATAATAACAAGATGTAATTTTTCACACTTACGTATGAAATAAAGACAACTTTTGTTGCCAAAGAGGGTATGTACAAATGGTAACTTTATAAAACTGTTGGTGGACCTGTAAATTGGTGCCATCTTTTTAAAAAGTAATCTCTAAATTCCAGCCATGACAGAGGAACTAGCTCTCCCACTGTGTGATGTTTGGGAGAAGAGAAACTCAACAGGTGAGCTCCATGATTACCTCAGCTGTCTGCGGAGGACAGTTTCCTCTCTATGCCAACCAGAACATTAGTGCTTCCTTTGAGCTAAGGAGATTCAGATCGGAATTCTGAGAAACTAGAATTGTGAAACCAAGCATGAGAGAAAAGGGAGCTGCTTGGAGTAGGGTGGAAGTGAGGCAGAAGACTGTGACCCAGGGCTGGGCTGGGCTTCAGAAGCACCACATGACACTGCACAGAGCTTCTCAGGGTTGTGAATGAAGCTCATACCTGAGGTTGAGCAGCTGGAACACATGAGCGCTCTGGTTCAATCAGAAGAGAGACCTTACCTTGTTAATAGCCAGAACATGAAGCTGACACACTATCAGGTCATACATTAGGAGTAAGGATCACAGCCTAGACTAAGGCCTACTCTACACCCACCCTGACAGAGTGGAAACCATTCCTCAATACAATCTGAGAATGAATTTGGAGATTGAGTCCTCTCAAATTGAGAAACCCCTTGGACTTTCCAAATATTACATCTAACAATGCACTGGATTGAAGTTCAATTGTAATAAATCAATAATTGAACTGCCTGGTAGAACAAAAAAACAGTCTTCAGAGGAAAATAACAGAATCCAAAGTCTAGAATGTGTCATCCACAGTGTAATGAAAAGTTATAATACATGAAAATAACCAGAAAAAAATGTAAACAATACCCAAGTGAAAGAAAGGAAAAAAAAAGAAAGCAATAAAAACTGGCCCTAAAAATGGGTCAGATTTTGGATTTAGCAGACAAAATCTTTAAAGCAGTTGTTATAAACATGTTTGAGATCTAGAGGACAGGGAATCTCATGAAATAAATGGAAACTATTACAATCAAATGGAAATTGTATAGTTAACATTACAAAACTGAGGTGAAATTTTTAATGAATCAGTATAATAGCTGCTTTGAATGTGCCAAAGAACATGAAAAAAAGATTTTTTAAAAATCCGATGTAAAGAACAAAAGAAAGGTAGGTAGGTAGGTAGATAGATATATAGATGGATAGATAGATAAAACAAATAGCAGTCTTGGGACCCATGAGACAAATTAAACTGTCTGATATGTGTTGGTAGAT